GCAAATTCAATGAATTTTTGAAATGCTGTTGTTTATGACTCGATTTGTCAATTAAGGTCCAAATTGCGGTATTGTTTTTATTCCAACAAGACCTTTAATTTGATGTTCATGTCAACCTATGCTTACAAAGAATCTCGGTTTACTCCTCGTGTACTGTACCGTCTCCCGTTGGAAGTGGAGAGTCAATAAACCATGAAAAAACTAGATATTTAGGTCTAACAAAGATGCGTGGAGATAAAGAGTTCTAACTTAAACTGATTTTAAAAATTTAGGTGGAAAGGAACTATAAACTCACCCTGGACCACGATTATTTTCCAAGGGGTCCAGTTGAAATAAAATTTGGCCTTGATAAACTATTTTGAAGGAATATTGTCCATGGAAGTAAATGGTGCTTTGATTTCCGCAATTGATTTAACATTGATCATTAACAGTACACAATGACTGTCTATATTAATTGTTTGGTGACATAATTGATTAAGCTTCTGAGGAAAGCAATCATACAAAACACAGTGTATTGAACACTATTGTTGCAACGTCAATAAAGTTGCTATTTATTTTTACCTACGATCCTCTACTGTTAAGTGTGAAGGAAAAAATCTAGATCTAGATAAAAATCTAAGGATCAAATCTGTAATCTAGGTAGAGGATTGGCTTTTCATTTAACCCGCTAAGAATCAAGCTCCATCCAATAAATGTAATCCGATCAATGGTTTAGAGTCTAACCATAATTTTTATACTTGTTCTTCCTCAGTGCTCGTTTGACTTTTTTATAGCTCTTAAAACCAGTTTGACAGTTTTACGAATATTGGTTTCGGTTAAATGTAAATCTATCGTAATCGTACAAAATTATCAAGAGTATGTGTAATAAATTATAATCTACTTACATTGAAGTCAAACATTACGATTATAAACACTCTACTATGATTTTTAAACAGTTTTTTTATGTTTGTAGTATTAAGTGACTACAGTAAACACAATTTATGAGAAAATATTTACGAATAAAGTTAAGGGGCTTATGGCATTGACTATACACCTCTACGTAGAGGTGTATAGTCAATGCTTATGGTTTTAGGTTTATAGTTTTTATCCATATTGAACCTCATAGAGTTAACGTCAGAATTACAGTAATAAAATAATAATAATAGTTAGTAGTAGTAATAATAAATAGTAATAGTTTGCTACAGTAACAAATATTTTTACTTTTAGAAATTCTTAAAAAAAAAACAAAGGTTCCTTGACTATTGATTTTTTGTATGTGTACGATGAGCAAATGCAGTGTTAGCTTTATCTTAAAGTAACATGAAACATGTCTTGAAAAACAGAACATGCTTTGTTTTACAAAGCAGGTCACAAGAGATATTTTATAGATTTAAACGTACGTTTAGTCTATGGAAATATCATCAAGTACTAAGTTAATTTTTCTTTGTAAGAACAAAACTATTTTGGACACTCGTTTAACAACAACTGATATTTTAGGGACGTGTGGATAAAAACTAATAAACTATAAATTAAATTACTATATACGATATTGAACGCGTTGTCTATCAAAACAACTAAATGTAAACTAAAGATTTTTTTTGTCAAATCAAGATAAAACCACCAAGCTAACAAATTTTCAAAATGCTCATCAAAACTGAACGATGCTTTGCATATCTTAAGCTAAGCAGTCGACTCGCTTATTTTTCGTGTATCTTCAATTTCACGGTTTCTTAGTCCTTCCTCCTCATTTAAGAATATTCAGAGAATCTACTTTACATTTTTAAAGAAGTTTCAATTATAATCAACAAATAGTTTTATACTTGAAAAAGGGCAAATTTCAATACAATAATTTTTAATGCAGGTATTATGCTTATACATACAAGTATCGATCTTTTTACATCGTTTAAAGACTATCAAACACAGTTTAATGAAGCTGTTAAAACCTTCGACTGATTACAGTTTGAGAAATAATGGTCAGGGAACCCCAACATCTTTGCTATATAAACCTAAGGAAGTTTTTCAGGTTTATATTGCTGTGGGGTTTTTAATCAATTTACAACAGATTATAAACGAAACAATTATGTCTCAGACAAGTAATGAGTTTTGATTGTTAAGTCGATGTGTTATGACGGATTTTGACAATTTTCTTAATGTTAGATTAGTAATCGCATAAGACTGCACGTCAATCACCCAAAATGTGTTTACCGCACTCGTATGGTAATCCTGCATTCTACTTCGTCTCGACCACACTCGTCTGTAAACCTTTTTTCGGACTAGTAAGTTCGTAGTGTAGTTTTTCGTATTATACTATTATTGGTAATTAATTGCATTTATATCAATCTCAGTAAAACTATATTTAGTCAAGAAATAGTTCATAAAATAAAAAACATGCATGTATAATAAAAAGTATAATAATTGTATACGAATTTATATTATGTTTTATTTAACTAAATAATAATGCAAGTGAAATCTCTCTTGAACAGTTAATCAATTCTGAATTAAAAATTATCCCTCATAAACATGACTTTCCTCATTGTAGAGCAGTCAGTTTAACCAAATATTTACAACTTTAGTCGCCTTTAAGTTGTCGATTAATTTTATTTGGATCCAGATTTTAAGTTGTATTACTTGTATTTGTGAGTTTTTTACTTGGTTACCTAATCTAAATTATTAATCATGACTTTGAAGCGTTTGTTATCTCTGGTCGGTGTAGTTGCCTATCATGGAATAAGGGCAATGCTGGTGCCCCCGAAATTTGAAGTGAAGATAAGAAAATGATGGATGGGACGATTGGATCCACCCACTATATCTAGACCATCAATGGTTGATAGAAGAGTAGAACAATACAAGGCATGCATGAATATAAAAAAGTCAACGTTAGGTAGTAACAAGACCAGGGTTTTGACCGTTCTGTTTCAAAACGTAAAAATTTCATATGGCATAAAAACAATCGAAATAAAAATAAAATTTCAATGACTTAAGAATTTGGCATATCCTGCTAAAAATCAACAGCAATCCTGAATTCTGAATCGAATCATTCTCCAAAACTAACATCATTCAATTGTAATTTCCTTTCTTCAGTTTCCTTGGAAGATCCAAGTTATTTCGTATCGTGGAAGAAACACGATTCCGATTCAATTACAGAATATTTCCCTAGAACACTTATGTTGATATTTTGGAGTTTGGAAGGGACAACATTCTGCGTAATATGTTTTTTTTACTAATCAATAATGGCAATTGATTGCTACCTACTATGTATGGTCACCATTTCATTGAGAAAAATTTAATATTAAATATTAATTTTAGTAAAATTTTCCAACTTTAACTTTAATATTTTTTTCAATGAAATGGCGACCATACAAAGTAGGTAGCAATCAATTGCCATTATTGATTGGTAAAAAAACATATTACGCAGAATTTTGTGTCTTCCAAACTAACTACAGGTTCATTTTTGTATAGCAAGCGTCGATTAGGAGTTGTAAGCCGAAAACTGGTCAAATAATCAACTTTTTGGCCATGTTGATGAAAATCACCTAACTTTAAAAAGCTACAACGGCTAAACGGCTCGGCCGATTTTGACGTATTTAACACCAATCGACGCAAAATTTAATGCACTAAAACAGACCTTTGAACAACATTTTCCGTAGGATTCGTTATTTAGGAGTTATAAGTGAAAAACTGAAAAAAGTGCAAAATTTTCATAGTTTTTCGACTCCCAAAACTTAAGCAGACGTCAGAATCCGTCGCAAACTCACAGGACTCTTATTTGGGACCCCCAAAAGGTATTAAAACACTTTCCAGCTTTAGACGATTTTTTGGGGAGCATATGTCTAATTTGCCTGGGCTATCTCTATAAAGACTCCCGATTAAGATATCCCTATAATGACTCCTTATCGATACCTCCCTATAATGACTCCTAAGCAAGACCATCCAATGATGACATCCCCAATGAAATCATGATATATAATAATTTTGATAACAAAAATAATAAATTATATAGTTGAAAACCCCCGTTGACACAACGTGATTATCATTAACATGCAATCAAGTACATATATTTCTAGCGAGAACTAAGTTTAAAAAATCACAATAAAATGCATTTATTACCGCATCAAGTTACAGATTCTAATAAAGGTTGATTATTTTGATATTTTTATACCATGGTAAAACAGAATAACAGAAATATTTTTTTAATGTATTATTTTAGGCGTTAACCCACTGACAACAGGTGTGTCATCGCGTTTCACCGAGTGATTTTAGCAGTACGCTAACCCACTGGCCCTCAAGTAGTACGTCGAATCTAACCTACGAGCGCTAGTGTCGTAGTTTGCTTGATAATGGTTATAGTGATTGAAGGTGGCATGTAGTAGCGGTAGAGTAACGTAGACCCGTAGAATAGTACATACTTAATAAGATACTGTATATCATGCTGAATTACGTATTGAATCACTTCCTCGAATATGTAAAATACATAATAAAGTACTGAAACTGAATCAAATTATTTTTTTTAATATACCACTTTTTCTATACAAAGAGAGTGTTTAAAACTTTCTCAAATATATTTCAAACATGTAGCCTACTGGCTAACTGGTATTGGAAATCTGGCGGTTAGTTCGATGCCTATATGTGATTTTGCAGTTTATATTTAAATCTTGCATCACATAGGCTATCTTGAATAGATCAAATAAACAATTTAGCCCTATCTTTTTATTTTTTTATTAGTTTGCTCTTATAACCAGGCGAATGAAAAATCATGTACTTTACGTCATGCAAATCAATGTTTCATTTCAGTACTTCCCTGATTAACAGATCATTTATGCTTATTTAATTTATGAATGTATATTTATTTGTTAATCGTATTTTATAACATGCACGCCACAGAATACAAATAATTAAAAATAAAAGTTTTCCAATTACACATTCTAACTTTTAATCCGTCTAACTGCACTGAACATAAACCTACTTGCAACAACATAAAAGGTAGTTCAATAAAACACAGTTTTATTTATAATTTACTTGTAATATTTGTAATTACGTTCGTGTTTTGCTGAATTTTAAAGTGATTTTTAAAACAGTAAATGCACTTTCATATTACTACTACAAGTTTTAATTAAAAATGTTTAAACTAAGGACAGTTATAACAAACTGGCAAAGCGTTTGTTGTAAAATATTATTCCAGAACTGAATTTATTAACATAACAAAATTTTTACCACAACTGGGGTTCATTCAACTCAGAATACATCAATTTTTAAGTCAATAAATCAATGGATCAAATTTAAAATGTAATACATTATTTCAAAAATAGCTCATTCTTACAAGAATGTTGTATCATGGTAGAGTAAACATAAAGTTTGTGTTAACAATAAAAAACTACTTTAGGTATTTGTCATAACAAGGTAATTTTTCAGTCTATCGCAATTTTCCGGAAAGATCCATGCAATTGGTGGTCGATTTCATTAGATGATTTCTTCTGGTTTGGTCTTTTGTCCAGGTTTGCATGGATTTTGTTCTGCTCCAGAAACCAATCTCTTCTGTCCACTAGCGATTGGTAAGCCATCTCTGTAATGAGAAAACGTCCATGTTGTAAAAGAATTTTTTGATTCAACTTAAATTCGAATTGTATGGTGGTGAATTTTCTAGTTTCAGTGAAATGCATTATTGTTTAGTTTGTCTTACGTCTTAGATTAACTGTTTATATAGATTTTTTTATTATTTTCATATCATTTATATTTTTAAACAATACTCACATTAACAGAAAATCTAGTCAACTAAAGTACCGAAAAAAGAACAATAAAACACATATAAGTGTTGAACATAATTTAGCTCACGTATGTTTGCTGTTTTTTTTTTTTTTTTTTTTTTTTTATAATAAAGGATTATGTACAAAAGTTTTTGGCATTAGGTGTATACATCTACATAGAAACTAAAGTAGCCTACCAGCCAAGTAGTGGATTGTTAGGTATTTATTCCGTGTAGGTGCCTCCAAAATGAATTTTTAATTTTGATATCTTACTTAATGGTTTTTTACCTCCTGAATCCAAATATACCATTATTTTTCACCGCTGATGAATATTTCTCAAGATATCGCCGTAAAAACATACTTAACATTACAATAAACAAGATAGGATGGACAACATTTCAAGTGATTCTGTAGTTTAATAACTTAATGTTCTCTATAGTAGGAATTTCGTCACATTATGGAGATATAAATGGACTGGTGGACTAATTACATGTAGTTCTTATTTAGGCATGTGAGGGTGGTAGGTGTGGCATTCCAGTATTTTACAAATCAACAAATTTGTCATTTATATTTATCCTGTGTAGAATTTAGTATAAATATAAAATGTACAAGGTCCTGCTCTGAAAGTGTGGTACTATCAGTTCATTAATGATTTCTATAACATTTACCTTTTTTACCTCATTCAGTTATGCTCTATTTCAATAATAAATAGCAACCACTGGTAAGTGAAAACTAGATGATGACTCGGAAATCCAAATAGTTAATAGTTTGATATACTAGAGGGGCACAATCAAAATGTTCAGAGTATTTAGTTAAAATATATTCAGCACCATAATGTGTTATTACTTCTAAAAACTATTCAATTTATTATGTCTACGTTGTATGGTTATATTGCTAGGTGTTTTAAAGCTAGAATTTTTATCAGCATATTTTGTTTTGTCTGTATTAGGCCTACTTTAAAAGTTTAAAGGGTTCAGTCGATCCCAGCTTTGAATAGGAAAAAATAACTCATTTTAATACATCCTAATTCTGTATCGTGAATCATCCTATCATACATTGAGTACTGGTATCATATCGTGAGTCCTTAAACTCGTCATCCAACCACTTCTTAGTATGAGCTCTTCTCCGTTTTTCTTTATTGTTTTCTTTTAAACTCACTTACACTTGGCTATCATATTGCACTTCTCCAGGATGTTGTACTTATCCACGTATAAATATAATCGGTGTCATAACTGGCCACTGATTTTTTTTACACAATCTAATCCTCATGAGACGAGTTGATTTGAACAGGCCTGATAATGGCCTGACCTCTTTAAATAGTTCTATGATATACATACTAGTTGTGTTTTTGTTATGTAGGCTAATATAAATATCATACTTTATATATTTTAATACTTTTCAATGAAATGGCGACCATACAAAGTAAGTATTTTGAGCCAAGTATGAATGGAGATGAGTGTAGGATGAGTGGCATGATCCTGTAGTCTTGTTAGTGAATAAGACCGACATATTCCTTAGACACAGCTATTAATTAATATATAGCTAATGGCAACTGAGTTACCTATAGTTCATAGAGGAATCCGAACCACATTTTTGCCTGGTATTCACAAATTGGTCTTATAATCAGGATAGTACTGAGGAAAGTCGTAGTACTCACTAGTGCGGACGTTAATCCACACCAGGGAGTATCGTATCTACAGTGCATGCCTATCAATATCCACAATTCGTGACCTCCTAGTAGGTGGATTACAGGACGTCACCACCGTCCCTTTATTGATTATATAGGGTGCATGTAGCTTTTGTAACGTTTCCAGGGCCTATTTTGTAATTATACTCGTATTATGTAGGCGAGATTATTTTGAATTCATCACTTTTAGTTTCTCTATTGACCCTACAAGATCATCTCACCTCTTAGTTCGTCCAGTTTGGCGGGGTAAGTGCCACCGTATTCAGGCGGGAGAACATCCTTAGGGATGTGGTCCAGAAGACTGGCAGCGCCCTTGCCGTGAACATGCACCTGTAAACAAGAAACGATAAACTTGTTGTAGTTACTACAACAACTTAGCAAATGTTTTAAATCACCTGTGTGGTGAAGATTTTGCATGGAATTCAAATATGTCCTTTGTAGTTTCAATGCACTTATTTTTCACTCACACTCAGGTTGTCTACCTATAAAGCTAAAATACCCCCGCCGCAGCAAACCTGCCGTCTAAGCGAATTTCCATTTGGCCGACTTGATTTTCAATTGATCTATTTAAATAACATTAGGTTTAACGAGTACCTAGGTTTGCTGCTACAAGGAAACTAATAAAGTAGTGTGTTTTTAGTAAAATATTTATAGCTTACTATAAAATAAATAAATTTGCCAAGTTTGATCAAAATATATCCATAAACAAGCAAACTACAACATTTTACAATATTCTCCATAAGAATAACATGGGAATTTTAAATTTACCATTTTTTTAGTTTTCTCCGTAACCAATAACCGTACAAAAACACTTTGATATACTGAATTGTTTGTTTTTTTAAGCTCTTTAAGAAGGTTTAGAGAAAAATTGGGAAATTTTGTGTTTTGAGGGTAAGAAGTGAGAAAAACCAATTTTTACCCCATAAAACCCCCCATAAAACCCTGTTCCCATAGTCCGATCATGCTGGATCGCGAACTCATTCAAGTTTATCCCGCCTTACACCTTCAAACCAAATTTCATCAAAATCGGATAAAAATTACTCAAGTTATCGTGTTCACGGACACATATATATATAAATCTATATATATATATATCTATATATATATATATATATACATATATAAAAATTTGAACGAATGGTGTTTTTGGCCTCTGGGGACATTAAAATGAAAAAGTAAATCGGTCCCGGGCCTAAGTCTTACCATGAGACCTACGGTAATAGCTACTTCCCTATAGGGAAATTCGCTAAAAACAGGACATTGAAACTAATCGTCCTACTAATTCATTGCAGCAACATTGAAAAATTCTATGGTTGTATCATGACAGTACTCATAATAATTAAATACAAATCAATTAATTTATTGAAACATTAATGCTTATATTATTATATTATTATGTATATTAAATTTACATGTGTAAGCTTATATTTTTTTAAAGCTTACAGAGACAAATTATGTTAACGAGTTCAAATAACTCATGGGACATAAAATATGTTGTGAAATCAAAAGAAAACTCTGCAACACGATTTAACATTTAAACCTCAAAACGATACTACGTGTAAAACAATTTGATTAAAACATATCAGGAATGACTTAAATAGACTACAAACAGCGTAATAAATACTTCTATCAACCTATTTTAATAATCTACTTTGTGGGAGTTCGTCATTGAAAAGCAATTTCTCCAGCGACAGAACAAACCCTTTGGGACTCCTCGTACTGCAACCTGAGCTGCATTCAATTGCTTCTTTATAATAGTAAAGGAAGTAGTATTTCCCTATGCACTCTGCACTGTTACTCCTAAGCTACTTGTGCTATGCATCCTTTAAGATCTATGGTGGAAACTATTTGAATGAATAAAGCCAATAGCGGTATTCTAGTTCGTGGTTGTTCAATTTATTTAATTGATTATACTGAGCAATTACTAATTCAGTTTAGAGGATATTTAATGTGTACATTTTCAATTAACAGTCAAGTAAATCATTTGTATAATCTATTGGGCAGCTGAGTGATTATTAGTGCTCAAAAGGTCACCGGTTTGATCTAGTGAAAAGTTTGTAACTTTTGGGGGGTTCGAAATTGGACCCAGCCGTTCTTTATCATTGGGCTTTTAATAAATGGTCCGGGCTAATGAAACAGCTGATCTTAGTCCGTAACAAAGCTACTCAAGGCATTTCATTTCATTCTACACTCATACCTCGTTCATATTTTGATTGAAAGACACATCTAGGCGGAGCCCCTATCGGAATTGGTAATAATATAAGACTGACCATTAAGTACAAGGGTATATATTCACATAATCCGGGGACGTTTCCTCGTGTTTTCACATATTTCCTTGCTAGAAAGTTTCTATCGAGGAAAAATTACTACAATGTAGCTTAGTTTCTACAGTTGAGTATTATAGTTACCCTCTGAGCCAGTTTCGTGTGTAGAAGAGACTTGGCGATGTTTACGACGTTGACGAAGTACGAGGGAGCGTTGACAACATGGAACCCTGCGAACCTCTGGGGCAGAACCTCCTGAAATTTAACAAAAATGTGAATGTCTATGCAGAAGAAGGAAACTTACACACATTACTTGTAAGCATTTCTGACCATGGGGTAGCAAAATATAAACCTTTTATATGAGCCAACTTTACATACTGGGTACTAGGGCCTACCTCGGACTGATTTTCTACCCTACTTCATGCTAATCTTAGATGGATTGTGGCATTAGCACATAGCTATCCATTAGTGATCTGCTGGGTTTGGACCGAACACCTATTGAACCGGACCCCTGCGCTCTGCCACTTGACTCTCGCCATAAAGATGAAAGGAGTGCATTAAAATAACACAAATGGGTAGACGATAAACTAGTAGTTCGCATAATGTGTGAAGGCTATTTCGAATAGTTGTTATGATGCTTCATCTGTTATGACAACTTCACCGCAACATTGTTATTGGTAAGTTCTCTCTGAGATTCTTAATAATTGTTGTGACGTTAAGGTATAATAAAAACGTTTTCTATAGCTGGAAATTATTAATGATAGTTTGAAATATTTTATCAGTACATAAAAAACAGACGCGATCGCAGTGTGTCATATAGTGTCACGATGTTCAGTCGATATTAGGAAGATATTTACGTTACTGAAAGAGTACAGTTGAAATGTTTGTTACTCGACAACCTTGAGAAATGTATTGCTGTGCAGCTAATAGGGTGAAGGTTCAGAATAATAAGTGATAATAATAACATTACTTTTTGAATTTGGTAATTTTTTCCCATGAAATGAAAATTGTAACCAGTGTTTATAGAACAATTTCACCTTACACTGGACGTCTACTAATTTATATTGTATTCATTTTTTGTCCCAACTTTTTTTTATGTCGCTATATTCTAGCTTGGTATCATTACACAAATAAAACGCTTAGATTGTGGCATTATAATTTGGAAAATATAATTTGTTGATTGACGACTTTTGAGCCCAGGACCACAGAGGTCGTGCCCTACCACTAGACCAGCTCGCGTGCCTGCATTGAACTTAGTAGTTCTAGAACTTCTAGTTCTAATTGCTAGTTAGTATATTTTATACTTAATCTAACTTTAATTTAAGTTGATATCAAATTAAATATAAGTTGACATTTTATTCCGATTTTTTATAATAATAAATTGTTTCAATGAGCTTAATTGTAAATAAATAAGGTCATAGCATAGCTATTATTTTACTTGATTTGTCTGAAACGGGACTACGTATTGAATACGTATGGTTTAAACCTACAATAAGGGGTCCAGAAATTAATCTTCACGAATGGAGTATTATACGTCCAAAAAAATATTGGTTAGTGGCAACCATAAATTATACAAACTGAAATAATAGGTTTATTTACTATACTTATTTACTATCAACGGGTCTTATTTTTGCCTATGCATATTTACATAGTTTAGTAATTACACAATGCATTATCACTGTAGGACACAAAAATCACATGTTTCCCTACACAACACCAGGTCTATGGCATTGACCTCGATCTAGTCCTAGTCCTGTTTTCCTGTAGCTAGAATTGCTCAAGGAGAAAGTTGCCCTTCAGACCAGACCAGATCCACATGGAATATAACAGTATTTAGCCTTGTCTACATTGCTCTGTGGCGAAAGAGTTTATTTGCCTCTTTGAGGAGTTCACGGCAAAACTAAGTTTATCGCTAGGCTCGAAGAAGAGTCTTCGTGCATCAGCCCAAAAGCATCAAAGAGCTTTCTTTGAGTATAAATTTTAAGTTTAATACCAAGACTAACTTTAATGAGTACAGAATGAGTTATATAGAAGTTAGTTAAAACTATTAATTAATTTTAAAAGTTTTGCACTTATTATTTTCTGTGACAATACGTATGACTGAGGACTTTCTAAACTATAGTAGTGATAGTATAACTTACATTTTTGAATTGAATTGAATCATGGTAGAAAAGTCCCGGAACGGTTTAATATACATTTTACCAATATAGATAACGTAATGAGACTTGCTCAATAATAGCCATACATGTCTACTCTTTTAAGCTACTATCACTTTTTCATCTCGTAAGGGGACGGCCCACGAGGAATCAGACTAAATTATTAAATAACAGCATAGGTCGAGTTTGGTATCTAATTAAAGGTCTTAATTAGTAGGACACATTGCTGCAAACCGGAACTCAAACGGACAATTGAGTAAAAAATGGTAGCCGTTAAAACATTTTTTGAATCTGCCATTTTGAATCTTGGAGCGGCTGCCATTTTTTTTGTCATTTGTTCTATTGAGCTCAAATTTGCGGTATTGCATTCTACTATTTAAGACCTTAATTTGAAGTGCATATCGTCCGATGCTTACGTTAATGATTTTCTTCCTAATTCTTGTGTTCGCCCCTTTGAAGAGGTAGCGTATAATAAGCAATGCAAATCCAATGAATATTTGAACAGCTTTGATTTTTGACTGGGTTGTCTTTTTCAGTTCGGGTTTCCGGCAATGTGTTCAAGACCTTTAATGTGATACCAAACTTGACCTTTGCTGCTATTTAAGAACCTTTTCTGACTCATCATGGGCCGTTAAGGGATAAAAAAGTGAAATAGCTTAAAAGAGCTTTGAACAATTGTGTGTTTTAGACAATTGTGGCTATTATTGCAATACCAATATAGATCAAGTCTCATCTATATCGAGTGTATCTATATTGGTAAACAATATATTAAACCGTTCCGGGACTTTTTTACCACACTTTATAACGTTACAAAAGTTGTCAAACATAATTGTGTAACATTTATTAAAAAAAATTTTATAGTTAAAATGTTTAACCGTACACAATAAGACAGAACATATAGATACGAATTTTACTTATGATGAAACCCTAATTTTACTACTAATTACACAATATTTTAATTGTTTCGTGTTATAAAGAAAGATTTATCATTCAGTTTTAACCTATGTATAATATCTTACAATTTTAGCTATTAAATCATAAAAAATTCCCAATCACGAACTATTTTCACCAAGTTCATCAAGGTGAACGAAAGTTAAGTGTATATTGGAAGTGCTTTATTATGTTTAGTAACTATTTTTAAACTTCAGTTGATCTTACCAAAAAGATCGACAGAGCCTTCTTGATTACAGGGATGGTGAAGGCAGCGGCATGTCCCATACTGTTGCCCTCAAAATCGAAGATGACGACATGTTTGCAGCAGTTCTCCTCGGCCATGTGACCGTCCAGTAGCATTAGGCCGATCTGAGGATGGTAAAAGGAATTGAGTTATTTCAAATATATGATTGATATTTTTTACTAACATACTTACAATCTAGACACAACAAAATAGGAGTCTTTGGTGAAACCATATATGAATGAAAGTGAAGTAATGAATAGAGTAAATAATTTATAAATAAAAAACTTTTTTAAACAAAACGTTTTTAAACGCCCTAAAAAGTAGAAAATAATTTACAAATAATTTATAAATATGTTGAGAGAGTATAAATACTTGTACGATTTAAAACGAAAAACGTTGGGTGCATGCAATTAATTGATAATAATACATTAGTTCAGTAGGTGAAGGTAATTGTAAACTATCTATTGCATGCACCCCACGTTTTTCGTTTTAAATCGTACAAGTATTTATACTCTCTCAACATATTTATAAATTATTTGTAAATTATTTTCTACTTTTTAGGGCGTTTAAAAACGTTTTGTTTAAAAAAGTTTTTTTATTTATAAATTATTTTATACTTTTTAGTTTTAATGTGTGTGCATATTAAATCTATTTCAAGCGTCTATATCAGATTAAGACAGAGGCATGTGGGAAATCTAAGGTTTATTTGAGTTTCTTTGCATATAATTATGTATTAGATTGCATGTATGGCCTACCTACTAACTATAAGTATATCAATCTATTTGATTTATTGTTTACTTTATAGAATACTAAATAAATAACAAATGACATTATTAACAAACTCCTTTATATCTGCAATCAGATTGTTTATCTTTATTTTGAAATGTTTGTTTGTATAAAGAATCTCTTGGGAGCAGAACCTGTACCTCTTAACCTCTGCTTTTTGAACTGTCAGATTTAAGTATTTACAGCTGACTTAAATTAGTTGATATATTTACATCCTTTTAAAATGTAAACATGAAAAATTTGGAAGCCCATGGGGCGTAGCCCAAGGGAAATATGAAAATTAAATGATATAATATCGCATTGTCATGCATTTGTGAGCTATGTTTCAAATTTCAAGTCTCTAGCTTATCGGTTACATCGTTTAAAATTGATATCAAAATTTGTAGGAAAGCGAGCTAATAAAAACAAGCCCATGGGGCGTAGCCCGAAAGGAAATATGAAAATTAAATGATATAATATTGCAATGTCATCCATTTGTGAGCTATGTTTCAAATTTCAAGTCTCTAGCTCATGGGGAAGTATCAAAATTTGCAAGAAATCGATTTAATAAAAACAAGCCCATGGGGCGTAGCCCAAGGGAAATATGAAAATTAAATTGTATAATATTGCATTGTCTTCCATTTGTGAGATATGTTTCAAGTTTCAAGTCCCTAGCTCATCGGGAAGTTAGTATAAAATCGGTTGCAAAATTTGTAGCGGACAAGAAAGCGACCTAATAAAAACGTTTTAAAAAACGTTTTAAAATAGTAGGGAGTATGAGAAAATGACAAAAAAATAAAAGAAAGTTGAAAGACCATGAGTTGAATGGGATGGGTAGAAGGTAGAAACTCAGAAAATATCCCAAAAACAAGCATAGATGGGCTGAAATAGAAAATGAGGGTAAAATGGTTAGAACTAAATAAAAAAAAATTGTTAATAAAATATATAAAATACCGCAGCAAACCTGCAGCCATGGAAATTTTTATTTTCCTGATTGTATTATCACTAAAATACCTCCTTAAAAATGCCTGATTTATTCCCTATATACATTGCTTTAACAAGTACTTAGGTTTGCTGCTACAGAGAAGGTTATAACGCGTTTATTTTAAAGTGAAATGATAATATAGTTTAGTACAACATAAATACAATTTCCAAATTTGACCAATGTATATAAGAATAACATGGTAATTTTTAATTTAAAACTTTTTGGAATTTTCTCGTGAACCATTAAACACATAGCAGCGTTTGAAGATACTTAACTAGTATTTTTTAAGCTCACAAAATGGTCTGAAAAGAAATTGCGAAATGTTTATGTTTTGAGAGTCAAAAATGGGAAAACCCAATTTTTAGGTCCGATCATGCTTTTTCGTAAACTTGTTCGAATAAACACGCACGTTTTTTACACGTTTTTACTAAAATTAATTAAAATTGTATTCAATAAAAATCGCCCATAGTCTCACAGATGTCACAGATTGTCACGCTAGTGGTTTCCATCAAAGAGTTGGGACGAAGATTTATTATTTACCTAGTGTTCTCAATGTCACATATTATCTACCTTTTGAAATCAACACCAGCCTACCTTTATTGAGGCGAGAACGTCGAACTTGTTGAGGTCGTGGTCGAAGGTCTTGACAATGGTGACTCTGTCTCCCTCTGGAGTTGGCTTGGGACAGGGACAGTACATCCTGTGGGATTGCACAACTATCAGGAATAGCTACGAAACTTAAACAATAGGTGGTGAAATAGCTTTCAAAAACGTCTAGGAATAGCGCCGGAACTTAACAAATGATTGATCATATTTACAAACTAGTCTCTTGTGAATATCAATGAACTACTGTACTTTCTACATACAAAACTATTTAATAGTTAAATAATAGTTTAATTTAATTTTGTAGACTTCCTACAAAACTATTTAAAGCCTTTACAAATGTACATTTAGCAACCAATTAAACTATTTCTAAGCTCAGAATGGTAAACTTCTCCTTTTTAGAGGATTTTGTATTGCATGATTTAATTTGTTTCAAATAATTGTTGATGAAAAATCAATTTACTAGAATATAATCGTGCGGTGAGTGACCACTACCCAGACATGATGTCTCAATAGCTTGCAATAGATCAATAGCTCAATACTTGAGTTTTACCTGAGGGCAAAAACAAATTTTGTGTGTTGATTTATATGAAATTGAAAAGCAGCTATTTAACTTTTTGTGCACCCTCTGCTTGCAACAACTCATCCCTTAATATAGCCCAGATACTTTATACATCCAGACGTTTTCAGTATAATTTTTTCCGGACCTTCCTATTGAGCAATATAGACTTTACCAGCCACCTGCGCTTAATACAATCTCCAATTAAAGTTCAGGTGACTTTTACAGTTACTTCACTATTTTCGATTACCACACTGAGGTCTATGATGAAGGGTAAATTAAGTTCAATAGAAACATTTTTCAAAATAAACTCACGCGACTTTAGCTATGCTTTTGATCTTCGGGTCGAGAGGGTCTCTATCGCTGAACATGTCAGCCATGGTGACTCTGCCGCAGTAGTATTGGTCCAGCTTTGACTTTGCTCGCTCCAGACTGTTCTTGGAGTGGACCAGGAACTTCTCTAAGGTTTCGTCAGCTGTGAAAAATACAATATAATATTCTTTAATCTTATATGGGCTAGCACTGTATTTTTTCCTTAGTAAACCCATAACATTTTAAATAAAATGGTCTAAACGTTTTTACAATGAATCGGTGAGAACCCCTTCTAACTTTCGTGAAAGAATTTGACCCTTCATAATTTCGCAATGAAGTTCAGTACGTTCGTCACGGCACTAGGGTCGTTGTAAAAAAAGAACTACTACACTTTGATCCATTAACACTATGTATGGTATTGGATTATTTAAAACCCACTCAACCAATGAGTATCAATGTGTACGTACATAACCCATGTAGTACTATAAAGCACACTAACATTTACTTTCAAACATCCTATAAAACGTTTTTGGTGAAGATACCGTTGTTTTTAATAGTGGGCGTAATGAATTGATTGAGAGTACTTAGAACACATGACCAACGAAATGAATTGCCTATTATCTTATCGCACACTTTCTCATTTCAAAAATACCAGATGTAATTGTCGTTCCACTGATGTTATGTCATGTAGCCATTATCTTGGTTCTCCTCGATCAATTAAATTTAACGTTCGAGCATTTACCCATCAACTTTCAAAAATCTTTAATCCGGTTACACAATCCTATAAACGACAATTTCTATACACGTGCGCTTGTACACCTAGATGCTCCAATATTCATGTTCTGCAGTTGGCACGCTCGTTGCCAAGGGCAGTTGTCCAAACATTACGCAAGTGAAAGGAAAGTGCTCTGCTCGTCAGCTGATTAAGAGTGGGGAGAATCAGATGGAGAGAAATTCGCAAGTAGGAAGATATGGAGGGAGAAGAGTCAATCGTATTACGTTTTGCTCCTTTACAAACAGTCCGGAAGCTTAATTTGAACTCTCCTTTATTATTGTAAAAGTATACCAACATCTTCTTCATAAATCAGTTTTGTTATACCAACCAATTAGTAACCCTTCAAATTTCTCAAAGTAGCTTTAAAATTAATTGATTTCAAAGAAATTAACTTTTTGCTTTTTGGATTGCAATTAAATAGTATTTCACCATCTCCTGAGAGAGAGAGAGAGGCTACTAGAAACTAATTTAGTTATCTGATTAATAGTTTCGATATTTGTTTTATTTAATAGTCATCCTGGATGCACGCTAAATACTCAGATATGTGCAATTTGACAGTTTATGTATTTTTGGGGAAAATTGTTTTTATTTTTTCACACGTTTCGATGCAACACCATTGTTGATTACTCATTTGAATATTAGGCTACTACCGTTACGCTGTTTAACTATCCACTAACGTGAAGTGCTCACATATAATTTGTGAAATTAAGTGTTCTAACTTTAGGAGTAATGATTTATTTAGATCGGGTTTTCCAAATACCTTACTGCGATATTATACTTCTATCAGTAATGGTTTGTCTTTGGAACACCAACGTTTGAGGTGACCAAACCTTTAATTTAATTGTTTATCCTTCCTTCTCTCTGACTCGTATGCTGTTTCGCTCTGATTTCTGATTTCAAAATAACTTCTTATTTTGAACCTTTGTGCAATCTAGTGTACTGTATTTGTACCAGAGTGCATTACTATTTAAAATTGTGTGTTAGCCACATAATCAATTCGATGTGTGTTCCATTAGTGTTGGATTTATCCAAATAAAGCTCTCTGATTGGTGAAGCGATGTTCATCCTCACTGTAAAACCTATCAATCACATCGCTCACTACACACCTCACGAATTTTGCAACGCTCCCATTTAACTTTCATACTGGACAAAATATAGTTGTTATAATTTGTGTCCCCGTGACGAATTCCACACCTAGCACACACAAAACTAGCAACGATTTGAACATATTTGTGCTTCAGTTACAGTAGGTTGTGTTACGTTGTGAGAATTTTTTGAAGATCACCAAAGTGACCCTCAATATTTTAATCTTTTGGACTCCTACACTCACCCACGTTGTCCGGTAGGTGAGGTTGTTTCTCCAGCCAGGTCCTCAGAGTGGTGACGTCACGCCGGAGAGAGCTCTCCGTGATGCCCAGCTCCTGGAAGTGACGCTCCAGAACATCTTTGGGGGGTTGGTCGTACTTTATCACCATTTCTGCAACAAAGGGAAATAATTGTAAATTATGTATCTATTATTACAAAGTGTGAGTAATTCGTAACAATTGGTGAACCAAATCAAACCTAATTGCAATATGCGGAATCGTAATTTCTACAAATTTCTATCTAGCAACTGCTAATTACAGTTTGATATCCATAGATGAAGTAGTTAAACAACCAACCCTTACGTAGGGTGTGTCTTATTTCCTTAGCATATCTAGAGAGTTTTGGTATATTCGAGTGGCCACTATGAAAGTATGATGGGAAGACATATTTTTTGTAAGAGCCCAATGGAAGAAATCTCCCATCAATTTTTTCAAAAAATATATGGATAAATATAAATTCTAAAATCAAATTGTTTCAAGAATCTCTAAAACGATTTTTAACAATAAACGGCAATATTCCCTGCTTTTGTTGATATTTTTTTATGAAAAGTATCAACATTTCAAATTCAGATGATGTTAATAATTTATTAGTTAACTTTTTATATGACAAAAATGTTGTAACAACTTTCTTTTAGAAATAAGTAAACCGCATATCTAAGTGGTTGAAAATCACATTTCAGCCTCGATGTAAATTGCCAAAAGAGACAAAGACGTTTAAAGTTAAAGAACAATTTCATCCCGAGTTGTCATTGCCAAATTGAAATAAACATTTGATTCTGGTCACGTTCAGGGCTTGGTTTGCAGAAAGCTTTTACCGAAAGATACAGAGCCGCAACTTTACTTTTGTTCTTGGTTAGTCTCCCAAAGCATTTGAATTTATTTTTCAACAAATTGAAATCAGAGTTTATTCAATTCGTTGAAGTGATTTGTCAGTAATTGAATAACTGTTTGTCAGTACGTGGTGAGGATTAATATTTTAATCTCAAATACAATAGTCTGGTTATCTTTCTAGCAAAAAGGTTGTTCTGGTTCAACGTTAAATACATTTTTATAGCGCGTCAGTATTTTATGTCAATAACATATATAATAGATTATTCAACCAATATGTCAATTTTAAACAAGTTTTTAAATTGTCATTGTGTATTTTATCATGTATCTAAGTAGGCTATGTATTTTATCGACCTAAGTATAGATTGTATATTTAAGGTATGGACTGAGAAATGGTTTATTTTTTGTTCAGTTTTGTAAGAATATCTTGGAAATTTAAAAAAAAATTAATTAGCTTGCCTTGTTCAATTCAATTTAAAACCGTAATCTAAAAGTGGGTAAACCGAATCCTAATTATAAAGCACTTTTAAAAGAGCTAGGTCATTTCCTCAAAAACTATATTTTAGTGTGTAATATTGCCACATGAAAGTTCTATTTGGTTCATTGAGGAAAGGCCATCTATGTTTTTTTCAGGGTTATTATGAACAGTCCAAACTACAAGGATAACTAGGTTCAGAATCAGATGTTCAGTTTGATTCATGTTCGAACAAATATTTTACTAAAATTAATACCTATATTACTTTCTCCCCCTATACCATAGTATATGGAGAAAGTATTGTTTTCGTCAAAATTTTCGAGTTTGAGTTTTGAGTGGATATATTCGTTTTGGGTCCCCCTGGACCCAAAAAAGTGGTTTTCGAAGTGATGTCTGTGTGTGTGTGTGTGTGTGTGTGTGTCTGTGTGTCTGGATGTGTACAGAGCTAGAGACCACACCTGTGGTCCGATTTCGATGAAATTTGGTATGTAGGTTCTAATCCATGGTATCTCTAGGTGTTTTTTTCATTTTTTTGAAATTTTTATTTTTAATGGGGATTTTCCCATAAAAACCCATAAAAAACCGGAAAAATCGGATTTTTTCGAAAATGGCCCGAACGATTTTGATCAAAATTTAGTATGTTGTAGCCCTTTAAATTCTGAATAAAATGGTACAAATCCCATATCTGTAAAAATTACGGTTCAAAAGTTATGGTCAAATATGTTATTTTCCCATAAAAACCCCTTAAAATAACGAAAAATTGGATTTTTGAAAAAATCCGGTTTTGATTTAACATAGTATGTTATAGTCTTTACAGTTTTGATAGTTTTTTTTTTATTTTTTAGAAATTTTTATTTTTAATGGGGATTTTCCCATAAAACCCCATAAAATAACGGAAAAATATGATTTTCCCAAAAATGGCCCGAACGATTTTAATAAAAAATTAGTATGTTATAGTCCTTTATATTCTGAACAAAATGGTACAAATCCCATTTCTGTAAAAATTACGGTTCAAAAGTTATTGTAAATTATGTCATTTCCCCATAAAACCCCCATAAAATAACAGAAAAATCGGATTTTCCCAAAAATGGCCCGAACGATTTTGATAAAAAATTAGCATGTTATAGTCCTTTAAATTGTGAACAAAATTGTACAAATCCCATTTGCGTATATTTACTCTCACCACTTACATATGATAAAGGTTTTTGACAAAATTATGGGAGAAAGTATGTGTCAGAATGCTGATACCGTTTATTTTTTATTTGCTTTAGGCCATAGTAATTTCGTAACAGCCGGTGTAGCATGGGTGAGGTCTGTAGTTTAGTGTAGGGAGCTTGGTTTAATTTCACAACATATTTGTGAGTGTGCGTATACTTTTTTGGTCAATTGTGGTTTTCAACATGTGTGCTATTTAAAGGAGTTCGTGAATGTATCCTTCCTGTTCAAATTTACATCAACTGAAGTCTGAATCTTACGAATACTATTTCATAACATTTGTTTCTATTGTAGTTTTCTTAAACAGAGAGAAGGCAAGAGTTAACATTGAACGCGATTTTGAACTCAGCAAATCAACGCCACGCATATCACAAGTCAGTCAAAAGTTATTTTATCTGTGTTTGTGTAATTTTCGTTATCATAACCAAACTTTTCGAAGTTTTTACAAGAAACGTACAAAGTTGTTCTTAAAGTGTTTGTAGCACGCCTCTTTCGTAAATTGCGTCCACAGAACGCGCCATCGCCTCCTAAATGTGTATATTAGGTAGTATTAAAATAGAACTGGTGCACGTGGGCTATTTACCAACATACGTTGTTTAGTGTTCATTTGAATCCTGATTAAAGCTTTGTCACCACTTATATTTCCTGTTGTGTATAAAACTCCAACTATTTTTTTTTTTTTTTTTCAAATAACCTATAGATAATGAGAAAGCATTGGCGCATTCAAGCTGCTACACATACACATACTGAAAAATGGTCTTATCCTGATCCACAAGGATGGGAAGTAAATATTAATGCTGTATCTGATAAATTAGACTAGTAATTGTTATTTAAGACCACGGAATGGTAGAATATTAGCATACTCCGTGGAAAAATTCTACTTGAGTTTCGTAAATAGTAATATTATTGTAGTTAACATATTTTTGTACATTCTAGTAGCTCTAAAGGATTATACTAGGTCACATAAGTATTTTATGCAACCTCGATCCAAGACTGGTGACAGGAAATTCAGCTAGGATCAGCTAGAGCTGTGACGTATATTAATTACTCTTCATCATCAGCTGACTAAATTAACCTCCCCACTTTACATTTGAGCCTAGGGTTTTAATAAGAAAACTCGCTAACAAAATGAATGTACTAAGATACTCTTTTATAAATTTATTATCAGCTTTGGTGTTCAGTTGAAAACTATTTTTTCTTCAATGTATAATTAATTTTTTATGTCGCACCTTCACATTCATGGACGCTAGGTTCTAGCCTGGAACTGTTGTACACAGAACTTCAGGCTAGTCCTAGAGGGTTGCAGCATTATCGAATGGATGAAATCCATTGGTTGTTGGCGATATTTGAACCCGAGACCTCGGGCTTCGAAGTCCCCAGCTCTACCACTAGACCAGCTCACTTCCCAATGTTCATATAGTGTTTTGTATACTGGTATAGTGTGACATTTCACTAGTTCTAAATAATTTTAACCCCATAGAGTAATCCTTTATAAACTATAGTTGATCCTCTGGTTTTTAGAAAAATTATCACAGTTAAACAGTTACAAGAAAGAAAACACATTTACAAATAATATAAATGTACTTGAATCGTCAACACAGGCTTTGAATTTTACACTAGAATGAGATAATACGCTTATCAGTATTCAAAGTCAATTCCAAACTGTATGAATGTTAATCATAGTTTCTTTTCAAAAAACAATCTCTGGAATCGCTCGTGGGTTTATTCGGGTTGTATTCGCGTCACGTGCCAACCTTGGTCGGTTTTGCTTCTGTCCTTTGAAAACACTACGTTGTTTGATATTGTTTTCGAATTGTTTGTTCAGTATTTTTTTCTACAACCATGAGGCTGACTTTAAAATACAAGCATGAATCCTACAATATAGGTTTCCATGAAATATTCTTATGTTAAAATGTATCGATGTTGTTAGTGCTACTAATAATCAAATTAATGTAAAGTTTAAGTTAAGTTTGTATTCGTGTGATTTGTGTAGATCAATATCAGATACATTGTTTTGAAATATTTTTCAATGTAATTTGACATATAAAACTACGTATTAAACAAACAGTAATTATTATTACATATTATTCTGATCTATTATTATATTATTAAAGTGATACAATCAAATTTTATGTAAACGGTTAAGGCCATTTACCAGATAAAAATATAGGCATATGGCATATCAAAATGAAGCTTAGAGTGTGTAGATTTGCCGAAAAGTATTGATATGGACGAACTCCCTAAGGGCTCTGGCCTACAAGCTAATTTCCAAAGGGCTACGCCTTGCATATTTTGGAAGTTAACGTTATTTCATTAATTGTGTGAACAACAGCTGGCCAATGCAGTTGACAATATAGTTTGTTTGTTTAAATTTTTGTTTACTTATTTTATTATTTCCTTTAAGATCTTAAAAGAGGTGTGGTGAATGGACAGTGAAGCTATTTATAGCTGTTTGATACAAGTGAGTGATTAAAGGTGTTCGAAAAAGGATGAATATGAGATTAACAAACCATGTATGTTGTTCGTTCTAAGAGGTTGTCACCAATCTTTAACGGGTCGCCATTTAATTGAAAAGTATTAAATTAAGTATTAAAG